AGCGAGAGAGGGAACACAAGCACGGGGAGTGGGAGAGGGAGAAGCATTTTTTTCACTGAGCAGGGAGCCTGATGAGGCGCTTGATCCCAGGACCCTGGGATCATGTTTTTTTCCGAAGGCAGACGCTTAACGACTGAGCCACCCAGGCGCCCCAAGGACTCTTTCATTTAATATAACAAACACTTGCGGTATTCACTGTGTACCTGTTTACCATGTTAAGTGCTTTTTTTTTTAACTCACTTATTCCTCCCAACAACCCTTGGGGGAGGTATTAATATCACTCCCATTTTTCAGGTGGAAGAACAGGCAGGGAGTAACTTGCCCAAGAGAGTTAAGTGCTATTTTTTTAGCTGGTGTTTGAACCCCAGCTGTCCGCTCTCAACCATAATGCCTCTTCTATGCTCCTGAAAATGATGGATCTTGGATTTTGGTATTTTACAATCTTTACTCAATGTTCTCTTTTTTTACATGGAGCTCCTTGGGAGCAGCGCCTGTATGATCCACTCAATATATGCTTATTTTTTTATTATAATCACATTGCTAATTGATGCAAATTCATCCAACACAGAAGGATCTACCTGGGACCTAAATAGGAAAGAAAATGCATTATTCCCAAGGCTAAAATGAGTTTGTGGCTTTTTTTATGCAGAAACCACACTCCAAGCTGAATGGCAGCTGGAGAAGGATGGAGGAAATGGAAGACAGAAAGTAGTGTCAACTTTAAGCCTCAACGGGCCCCACCCAAAGAGGTAGGTTTTTTTAAAGCTTCTAAACTGTAAAACTGAAACCAAGATGAATAAGCCAAATCACGAGTTTTTTTCAGTCTGTTCTGTTATTTTGTTTGCTTATGATTTACATCACAGTGAAGTTAATTTTTTTTCAAACTGCCTAGGTGTGAAAACCAAACTACAGGTGCATAAAATAGGAGAGATTTTTTTCCTCCAAAATGCTAGAGAAAAGGCGGGGTGGACAGCAAAGGGTTATGGGTGTAAGGAACATGGAAAGAGAAAGCTCCCCCTTGCTTTTCTCTTCCTCCAACCCCTCACCTCTTTTTTTTCACATACTGGTGAGCTGGTCAGGTGTGAGGATGTTCTGGCTTCTAGTCCCATTTTTTTTTCCAACCGGCTACATGACTTTGGCAAGGTCTCTCCCTCTCTACAAGTCTCCATTTTCTTGTCTACAAAATCACTGGGCTAGACCATAGCATCTTTTGGTATTTGTTGTTATTTTTTTCCTCTTTTTTTGAATTGAGGTAACAATCATAAATCATAAAATTAAACATTTTAAAATGCACATTCACAGTGTTGTACAATCACCACTTCTATGTAGTTCCAAAACATTTTCGTCACCCCCGAAAGAAAACCCTGTACCCAAGGGGGCGCCTGGGTGGCTCAGTCATTAAGTTTTTTTCTTTGGCTCAGGACATGATCCCAGGTGCTGGGATCGAGCCCCGCGTCGGGCTTTTTTTTCCGCGGGAAGCCTGCTTCTCCCTCTCCCACTCCCCCTGCTTGTGTTCCCTCTTTTTTTTTGTCTCTCTCTGTAAAAAAATAAATAAAATCTTTGGGCGCCTGGGTGGCTCATTTTTTTAAGCGACTGCCTTCGGCTCAGGTCATGATCCTGGAGTCCTGGGATCAAGTCCTTTTTTTGGCTTCCTGCTCAGCAGGGAGTCTGCTTCTCCCTCTGACCCTCTTCCCTCTCTTTTTTTCTATCTCTCATTCTCTCTCTCTCTCAAATAAATAAATAAAATCTTAAAAAAATTTTTTTGAAAACCCTGTACCCATTAAGCAGTCAGTCCCCCTGCCTCCTCCTCCCAGCATTTTTTTATCGCCAATTTGCTTTCTGTTTCTAAGGCTTTACCTATCCTACATATTTCGTATGAAAGGAACCATACAACATTTGGCCTTTTGGGTCTGGCTTCTTTTACTCAGCATGATGCTGTTTTCAGTTCATCCATATTACGGTATATATCAATCCTTCATTCCTTTTTATGGCTTTTTTTTATTCCATTTCAGACTACAGTATGATTTTGAGCTCCAACGTTACAATCCCTTTTTTTTTTCAAACATCTGTTCACAAACACATTATGAGCACCAATTAAACACAAGGCAGGTTTTTTTTGGAAATGACTGAGAAATTTGTAGCCTCTTGCTATATATATACTTTTATTTCGATTATGACATTTAAAAGTGCCCAATCATAAGTGTACAGCTTCATGAATGCTCACAAAGTAAATACAACTATTACCTTTAAGCCGGTCAACAGATAAAATATTATTTGCACCCCGTACTTTTTTTTTTACCCTCTTCCAATTCTCGTTTTCCTCAAGGTCACCACCATTCTGACTTCATTTTTTTTACATTAGTTTTTCCTGTTTTTGAACTTCATATAAATGGAACCATACAGTGTCTACTTTTCACGTCTGGCTTCTTTTACTCAGTATCATGTTTGTGAAACTCACCCACGTTGCTGCATGTCACTGCCGTGCATTCATTCTCATTGTTGTATAATGTTAATAATATCATAATTTATTCATCCATTCTATGGTTGATGGGCATTTGTGTAGTTTTATCTCTGTGCCATTATAATAGTGTTGCTATGAACATTCTAGGCTATGTCTTTTGATAAACTGACGTACACACATCTTTTTTTCATATACCTAGGATTGAAGTTATTTGAGTCATATATTCAGTTTTACTAAATATTTTTTTGGAATTTTCCAAAATGGTCAGGCCGTTTTAGATTCTCATCTCTTGCTTCCAATTTTTTTCCTTCCAAAACATGGGGCTAGTACCCACTGCTGTACCAGTGGTACATAAAAGGATTTATGTGAGGAGCAAAATAAATAACATCAAGTCCCAAAGTGAGAAAATTATTACCCTCTTAATGCTCTTTAAATCCTTCTGATTACATAAAGAGAACCCCATGTGATACCAGGATTTTTTTTGCCACCTGTCTCCCTTTTTACAAAGTCTCAGATTTTCAGCAGGCAACTGTATTTTTTTTCTACTTCATAACATTTTGTTTTAATGTATTTATTTTTTAAATATTTTATTTATTTGTCACAGAGAGAGCGGGAGCACAAGCAGGGGGAATGGCAGGCAGAGGGAGAAGAAGGCTCCCCGCTGAGCAAGGAGCCCAAGCTGGGGCTCAATCCCAGGGCCGGGGGATCATGACCTGAGCCAAAGGCACACGATTAACCAACTGAGCCATCCAGGAATCCCTAACGTATTTATTTTTTTATTTTTTATTTTTTAAAAGATTTTATTTATTCAT